ATTACTAAAAGATAAAAGCAAGAAAGCAAAATCACTTATGTGGTATGAGCCTATTCATTTTTTAAAGAATATCATAGTATACAAGTTTAAAGGACTAAAAAGCAATATTATTTATGTAGTAGCACTGAGTGGTCATCTTTATCATGCCTACTGACTGTGTGTAAGTGTCAGAATTATCACTAGTCCTACTTGCCATTCCCTGATGACATGTGATGTGCTATGGCATTTTGCTTTAAATCCAGTTCTTTAACACACCAGAAACAATGAATTTTTAAAAAACAAACAAATCTCTATTTTAACCTCCCCATAGTGTGAATATCTAGAAAAAAAATCATTTCAGTATATCAAATATTTAATCTGCCAAAAAGAATTTAGCTCAATAGAGAATTAACCCATTATTTTTAAGCTACTGGTTAAAGTTGGTTGTTTTGTTGTTGTTTTGTTTTTAAAAGCCATCATTAAAAGGATGGAAAGCTCTTTTCCTACTGGAAAAAATAAGAGGTATGGTTTGCTTTAGTGTTAGACAATGGGAAGAAAACCACCAAAGTATCCTGTATGTGGGAAAACAGCTCTATTTCTAACTTCTTTGTGATCCTATATCTTAAATATCATTAAAAATTCATAATTTTTACATTAAAAGAAATACTGAAATGGAGAAGTGAATTTTTAAAGAAGTAATTAATGAGTGTCAGTTTTGGTTAACATTAAGACCAAAAGAACAACAAAAAGAAATGTAACATAGTGAAAGAAAAATGAATAGAATAAAAATTAAAAGAAAATTAAGATTCCAACAAGGGTAAACATAAGACAAAATTGATAAAAAAAAAAACTGGGAAAAAATAAAAATGAGAAGTACAAGATAACTTCATAAATAATTTCCCTTATTAAACTCTTAACAACTTTCATCACAGATGAAAATCTCATCTTAAAAATACTCTTGTCTCTTCGTTGCCATGTCACTTCAGCCTCCAAGCTTCCTTCTTTCTCTCTGTAACACTTTTGTCAACTTTGTTCTGCCTTCTCTTACTCCATTCAATTTTGAAACTTTTCAGCCTTTTCTTTTCTCAATCTACATTCTTTCCCTGAGCGATATCCTCCACTCCATGGCTTGAATGATGATGTGTTAATGTCTATGAATCACAAATATATCATCGTCAGTCCAGTCCTCATAATTGTACTCCTAAACTGTGAAAACAATTGCCTTCTGCTGAATGTGTCTATGATACCAAAACACAGTATTTCTATATTTAAACCTAAGATTTTCTTATTCCTGATTCACCCCTCATCCAATGCCCCCTCTCTCAGTTTATGGCCTGCCATATGCATGCCAGGGTTCTATAGACATCAGGATGCTCAAGCTTGGTTGATCACCTATCATTACAATCATTCACCACTTCTTTTCAACTTTTCCTCTGAAAAGTTTCTTTAATCTGTGTATGGACATCTTTTGGGGGGCCATTATTCAGCGCTGCAAAGTCCCCTATTACATACTCTAATACATATCTTGTATTTTCACAATAAAAAACATTTTGTAAGTCTTTGCATAATCAAAATTATTTATTTATGACAACTGCCATATTTACTTATTCTTAACTGTATTATTTATTTTTTTAATATCAGCAGGCTGACAGATTGACTGTATTCTTTATGAATACATTGAAAAAATATATAATAAAGGATGGATTTTTCTGAGAACTGTATTTCTATTTTTTGAAGGCTTAAAAATATTTTCAAAGCACAAGAAATACAAATGCATGTAACACACATTTTTATGTGTATTTTATTAAACCTGTGTTGCAAGATGATTCTTGTCACACTTGCAGATATCTGCCCACCTTTGTATGCTAGTCTCTGAGAGAAAGGAAAGGAGGTAAAACTATGTCAGATCTAAGTGTAAGAGAATGTGAAAGTTGTCAGAGGAGAGTTTAAATTGGAAATGATTTTTAGTTCACTGAAGAGAGGCTAAAGTGGCCTTGGTTACAATATTAGATATTGGCTTTGAATTCACAGAAGCTGATGGGAAGTAGGGGTTAAAAGGAAGATTTTAGACCCTAGAATTAGAACAGAATGTCAGTGAATGCTCTACAGCAGTGCTTTTCAAAATATACTTAATGAAAGATCACTTTTAATATTTTTAAATTAATTATATATATCATGTTAGAGTATTTTATAAAATATAACAGTAAGTTAATATACCATATAAGATTAAAATACTTAGATGAAAGAAAAGATCAAATTCCACACATACAGAAAAAGAATTATAAAATCTGCATGTTGTCCATTGACTATTGAAAAGTGATAATGTAGAGAATCACTATTCCACCTTACCTTTCTGTCATGTAAAACTATGTATTAATAAAAAGTTATGAGTGAAATGATGATTTTCCATGTTAAATCCCTTTACAAATACGTCAGTGAAGACTATGCATATCAATACTTAAAGTATGTAATGGGACAAACGAGCTTGCTTCGTGCTTGTTAGTTAATCTAGGTGAGATTGATGATAGTGGTACTTGCTTGGAATAATGTATGTCTAAATGGTTTTAAGTTTTGTTTTAATAACATGAGTGAAGAAGCCAGTCTCAGAGGCATTTGTTGAACTGAATGGTAGATGAAATTTAAAGTGATTTTAGCCAGTTTTGGAATGTTCATTTTTAACTTTTATCCACAATGAAACATGTTGATTTTCAAAATTCATCTTCAGTTCCTTATCAGTACCAATGCCAACAACGAATTAGTATCTGGGGTAAAAAAAACAGTTATTTTAACTTGATATTCAAATCAAAGGCTGTAGTCTATCTTTTGGTGGACCTCACAACGGGAAACAAAAGCAATAATAGCTCAGCAAGTATCCAGGATTCATGAAGGTTTCTGGTTCCTAAAAGTGAAGGTAGGTATTTTCTGCTTACACCTCACACAAGATCAGGAGCTTCTGAGCCCTTCCTTTTCTGCCTTCTTTCTTTCTCTCTCCCTTCTCTGTCTTCTCGTCCTTTCTCTCATCTCCTTCTCCATTTCTTCCTTTCCATTTTTTTCACTTTTATTCCCTTCCTGTATGATCTAAGATTTTCTACTCATGATTCTGAAGTGAGGGAGGGGGAAATTGCTCGAATTACAAGCCAAAAGCTTCACAAGTAAGCAGAGGGAACACACAAGTTAATCTTTCAAGAAATAATCCCACCACACATTATGCCCCTGTCAAACAGGGGCATAACTGAAAATGAACCACAGAATAGTGCTAAATGAATCTCAGTCAAATGTAATTCAATTTTTTAGGTATTCATAAATGTATGTCGTGTTTGCATTTTTCTTTTCCTGCCACTTATGTGAAATTATGACACCTGCAGATTTATTTATCCTTTCATACACAGATTTGCATTCCATACCCACCTACTGGAGACCAGTTCACTCTTTGTTTACGATGTTATTTTGGGCTGTACTATTTAGGTTACTCTTTTCATCACTTTTTATGCTTCAATGAATCCCATTTTAATTATAAATTCATTTTTGAGAATTGGGGATATAATATAACACAAGCATAAAAACAAAATTATAAATTTAGTAATGTTAACAGTAGCATGAAAATGACATGAAAATATATTAGGTGGGACAGACTGTACCCTATTAGCCAAATATTTGCAGACAAACCAACCAACGTGCTCCCTAAATGGACATGCAGAACTTTAGAGGACATAATAATTGTTAATTGTATGAGTAATGGGATTTTTATGGCAATAAAAATTAATCTTACATTTTAGATTTGTTTAAGGCTATGAACAAAATAGATTATGAATGTTTCCTCTTCAAACTGACAATTGCCTACAACATGTTCACAAGTCATGCTTTTAATACTTCTCTGGTTGTCAAAGCATTGTTTTCTCTCACATTTCTTGTCTCTAAATTCATTATACATTATATTTTTTTTCCTTTTTTCTCTGAGACACGTACACGCACACACAGACACAACACACATATACAATAATTAGGAAATAAATTAGAAGAACCCCTGTGGTTTGACCTCTTATCATAATTTGAAGCAATTAATAAAGAGCACAGGACCACAAAAACTTATCTGACCTTAGAGTGCTTATCTCTAAGAAGCCAGATAAAACACAGCAGCAGTTTACATTTGTCCACAGCTGACAACTTCTCCACAGAATACGCAATGACTGCACCCTTACTCCAAAGGGACGTTGTGTTATCTTAAGAGCACAAAGAAACTGAAGGAAGGAGACTGACACTACAGAGAAAAAAAAATATTGCTGAATACGACAATAATGATATAGCATATCCACTTAAAACAGACTCTTTGGAAAGATCCAAAATTCACCCTCTCTGATACACACTCAATTGGGGCAGTGAATAAGTGTTTATGCATATGGATCAATGATGAATTTTCTAAAATTAAATATTTGGAAAATTGATTTTGTTGCAAAAATGACACTACTCCTTACCTTAGAACCAATAAACATATTTGTTCATATTAACTTCAATCTTCTTCTTTTTAAAAAAATAGGAATATTAATATCTTCTTTTCCTTTCTAAGGATAGCAAAAGTCAAATGGGAAAATGTTTGTGAAATGAATTTGAAACATGAAAGAACCTGCATAAACAAAAACCTTTGACATAAATAGACCTTTGTTCAAATAAATGAGTGAAAGAACATGTTTGAAAATGAAAGTGATTATTCAGATTAATCAATAATAACTAATAATTATAAACTTAATTATATTTTACTATAAATATTTAATTAAATGTTAAATATTTAAGTATAATATTTAATAAAATATTCAGTATTTAAGTGTAACATTTAATATTAATATTTAATTAAATATTAAATTAAAATAATTTCTTAGAATAACGTTAATATATTTTGAAGGGCGTGTATACCAGTATTTTCAGTAGACATGTAATCATATATAGATTTTCACATAAACACACATATGCATAAAGTGATATAGCTAAACATAGATTGATTTAGTCAACATGTACTGTACACATACCAGGAACAAGACTCCATTCTACAGAAAAATACTGAGTTCTTACTCTCTGCCCTCTCTGTGTAGTGGGGCCTTGATATACATGCTATGGGAAAAACTCATTGCACTAAAATGTAAGGAAGGCAGAGGGAAAGCAGGACAGCATTTACTGAGTCCTTAGGGTCTTGGTTTATATAATTTTATTCATTTTCAGTGTCATGTTGACTGAAATCCCTAACTTTATCTAGTGGTGTTTATGGGAGGATCAATTATATATCCTGAAACTAAATGGTAGAAAGGAGTAAGAATGCTGCAAGAATTGCCCTTACACCAGGAATGGTGAAGTCAGCCTTGAGTTGTTGCCTATGAAAAGTTGCATATGCTAATAGTTTCCACCCTCAACAGCAAACCATTCCTAAGCAAAACTTGCATTCCACTCATGGCCAAGTATAGTTCTACAAGGCATTATCACAAAGACAGTGAGCGAGATTGCCCTCCACCAAAAAAAAAATCATTGTTTCAATACATCCTAAAATCAGTTATAAGCTTTTCGTGTGTTTGGTTTTATCCTCTTTGGGTCTGTTTTAAATTATTAACTTTCTAACATCTCTTTTATATTGACAGAACTAAGAATTCTCAATTCCATTATGATGTTAAAGTGATGTCACCTGTGGTAAAAGTCAGCCATTATGACAACCAAAATTCAGGTATCTGAGGGCATCCTGAAAACTTCCTGGTTACTATTTTGAAGAACTAGAAGATTCCTAAGGCAGTCAGTCCAAAGAGCAGATGGTCTGAAAAGGTGGATTTTTTTTTAAATTAAAAAACAAAGCATAAAAAACTCAAAAGGGTGCTTGGGGGGTGGCAACTGAAAAAATATAGACTGACAAATGTATTAATAGACTCTCTGATAAAAAGATTAATTAATGGGTTTTTAAAATAATCATATTTCTTTGTATGATATACTTTAAGTAGCTTCAAGCGGTTCTGCTAAGGCTGATTATTAAATGTATGCAGCTGTGATCACTTTTGTCACTTAATAGATGGCAGAATACTTTAAAATCATGCACTAGCAATTCTTCACAAAGAAGTCAGTATAAGAAAGAAAAGAAAACACTGACTTGCGTGTTGCCAAATGTCACACTGAATGAAGGTCAGTTGAAGGCTACAACCCCATGATCTCTTCTTGATACAAAGTCAGATCTAAAGACATGTAGACTCAAAAATAGAGACTTTTTTATAGACAAAGAAAAATTGGTGAAATATGTAAATGTGGTTATAAGAAAGCAGTAAGTCCAACGTTAAAAAAAAAAACAAAACTAATGAAGATATATGACACTAAAAGTTTGAAAGTACAAGTTTTGACTTTGCCTTGAATAAGTTACTTAATTTCCTCAGACTAAACTTAATCTAAAAAGAAAAATAGGCATAAATTATCCCTTAAAAAGATTCCTTCAAGCATATAAGGCAGCATGATAAAATAGAAAGAATACAGATTTTAAAGTTATTGTTTGCTGAATTTCAATTTGAAATTCACCACTTATTTATTAGTTGAGCAATGCCAAGCTATTTAACCTTCATGAACTTAAATTAACTCTTAAAAAATAAGTAGCTACCTTTCAGGATTGGGGTGGGGATTATATAAAATAATGGAAATTAAATGCTTGGCACAAAACGTAGCATGTAATAGGCACCAAAATTTATTTCCTTTCTACCTATTCCCTTGTATTAATCTAAAATTCTATGATTACCTAGGTTATAATTTAAAGATTATTGTCTCTAGGCCTTTCTAGATAAGTGAACTTGCACTAGTAACTGTTTCTTCATGTGTAAAATTAGGGTTCAAATATGCACTTGCTTTTCCTCTCTGCTTGTTGTTATAATAAAAATAAATAAATGTGAGAACAAAGTCACATAAAGATCTATACTGGGAAGGAACTGACACTTAAGGGTGCTACCAGAGTTTCTGCTGCTTTGCATGCAGTATCATTCAATCTTCACAACAATAATCTTAGAAAAAGAGAGAAAACAGAGAGGTAAGTAACTTGGCCAACATCACCCAACTGTTAAGTCACAGAGCTATAAAGTCAGTCCAGGTACGCTCACCTCCCACCACACATGATTCCTGAAGCACTAAGGTGTTTAGTAAGAGGAAAGGATTATTTGATCTTAAAACAAGAATTACAAAAAGAATGGTGAAGAATAGGCTAATAGATGTTGTGAGCAAGTATTTAGATGGATTCTCATTAGCATAATAAAACTCACTAAGCTGATGAGAAGTAATTGATAATAAGCGAACAATTCACAATTAAAAGAAAGGAATAGTTATTAAATACAATTGGGCAAGTTTAATGCATATGTCTAACTATTTTTCCTATTTGTATGAAACTGACAGAAAAGGAAGAAAGGTCCATGTTAATTCATCATATATTCTAATACACTTCAGCTACAGATTAAAGGAACCATGCCAGTTGTTGTGACTCCAGACAGAGAACGAAGAAACTCTCTGCGAGACCTGTGGGTTTACAGAAGTCTATCCATCACTCTGTCAGTCTTCCGGATCATTATTCAAGTTACTGTCCCCAATTTTGCCGGATATATCAGATCTACTCCAGCTCCATAGGTCATTTTTCTCCCTAATGGGTTTGTAATTTGTTCTTTATTATCTTTGGGTTAATGTGCCATTCAAAATTTTTGAAAACGATAGTAAAAATGTCAATCATTAGCTCTGTGTGTGTATCTGTATGTGTGTGTGTATATATATATATATACACACACATTTGTATGTATATGTGTATATATGTGTGTATATATGCAAATGTATTTAATTCACAATTGTCTTATTATAATACTATACATGGAATTTAAAAGTATAGATGGAAAATTTATTTAGTACTGGTTAATTGTGCATATCATGCTTTCTCGAGTGTTTTCTTGTTTTATTTGTCTATTTCAAGGGTTTAAAAACAGGTAAAAACATGTCTACATAGTTTCCAGTTGATGTAGAAATGTGGCAGATGTTTAGGCATTTTATCAATGAAAACCAGCAGACGAGATAATTTAGCTAAACATTTACCAAAATTCAACCAGCAAAATAGATACATATATTAAATAAAGCAAGGATGGCCCTTGGATATATTTGCAAAGGAAGTTTATTCTTTCATTCAACAAACCTATATTATGCAGGTGTGTAAGGCATTGGATTTGGCATGGAAACACATACAAAGAAGACCCAGTTCCTGCCTTTAAGTAAAAGAACTCACAAAGGTAAAAAAGAAATATGTTAAGTGTAATGTTAGAGCACATACAGCACATAAGATATAAGGCCATCATCCAGACTGCAAGATTCAGGTCGAATTCCTGGAAAATGTGAGAATTAAGCAGTATATTCAAGATTAGTAAGCATTACCTCGATAAAGAGAAAGGGAAGAGCACTGCAGCTAGAGGGGTCATGGGTGAAAAAGAACATGGTCTACAGGAGATCTATAAGCATTTTAATATTTCCCAATACAATCTTATTTTCTTGGGGAGCAGGACTTTTCATATTTCTTGGTTGCTGATGCATCCAAGTGTCTGATACAACTGTTGGTTGAATGAATGATTAAATTGATAATTTATAAAATGCAAATCAGAGAATAGAGAAACTTGAATTTGGAATAGGACCAAATCACAAAGTATATTTTAATGTTCCTTAGTGACACTTTCTCTGCTACTTTTTCTCCTTTTGGCTCTCCCCAGCTCTGGGGAAATCCAGGAATAACACAGTGTTCTATAATCAACACTCCTATTCACACCTCCCTTTAGTCTAGACCTTTTCCTCTTAATATGAAATTTTCCTGATGCAGTTACCCATCATAACCTCCCCTGTACCCATTTACCTTGGGATATATTTTTGATAACAGGAGCTAATTTAATTTGTCTTATATTCTTCATGAAAGAAAACCTTTCTAAATATCATGTTTAGTCAGCCACAGTCTCCTGAAAAGGCCACTCTGCCCATTGGGTTAAAAGCACTGGATTCATATTTTAGGTCTGACATGGACCAAGCTTACAACCTTGAAATAGTTATCTTCAGTTTTGTGTAAAAGTTAAAGTAAATAACAAATGCAAAAAAAAAAAAAAAAGTCTTGTAATTTTAAGACATGACACAAATATAAGGAGTTATCAACTTAATAGAGTCTACAAGGTCTTGAAATCAAGAGATTTAATACTATGAACATTTCACTCATTATCATTGATAATTTTATGAAGCACGGACAAGCATTTTTGGCAGCTCTAAAATCATATCATGTAGGTAACTCCTTTTTCCTTCTATATTGAAACTGGCATTCAACTAAAACCAGGGGATATTAGAAATTATAATTCACTCCCAATTCATAATATCTTTGCTCCTTAATCTCAAATTCAGAAGGAATACCATACTTTGATCACTATATAAACATTTTTACAATTATTCCCTATAATAACTCATATTACAAGATAGTAATCATCATCATTTAAACTTTATATAATGAAGCAATTATGAAACCTGTACAAGGTCAAATGCACTATATCACGTAATCTTTGGGCTTTCTAGCCACACTGATACTTCTCTCCCTGACCTTGTTTAAGTAATGAATCTGGGACAAAGTTATTGAAAGGAGATACTCTTTATTATAATATAAACAAGATAAGCATATAATAACTACTCACTTTTTCTTTTTGCCTTTAAGAAAATAGAAAATATATATTTGCTCTATGGGCAAGGTACATAATTATTATATGAATGATGCTTAATTCATTAGTCTCATATTATTAATTTATATGATTATTATTTTGTATATATATTTGTACATGTTTATCTCAAATTATATATAAATAAATACATATACATGTATATACATGTATACATACTTAAACACACTTAAGTATTCATCTCCTTCCTTCACTACACATGTGAAAATTTCAATTTTTTTCTCTTTGTTAAATAACATGCCAAATCATTCTATTACATATACCAAGTTTTCTTCTTCCTGATCTTATGCATGTTATTAAAATGGAATGTAGTCTCTCAAATCAGACTTATAGCAAATTAGATGCAACAAATATGTTAACATTAATTAATGTAATTTTTGTGGAAGCACCATTCTGAGAGAAAAACAGCTGTAGTGGTCTGGCACGGTGAATTAGGTGGGATATTATTAAGAGGGTCTTAAATTATCAATCTTAAATTATTAAGATTTAGCGATAAGCTGAGAATTGTGACACTATCAGAAGAGAAGTCCAGTATATAAGTTACTATGGTTTCCTATAGAAATAGAGTCACAAACTTACAAAATCATCATGGTGAGTGGTTGATACATGTGAGATTCCATGTTTTTTTCCCATGTGTTTTGAGACCAATACTTATTACACTATAGATATTTTACTGTTTGGGGACATGGCAATACCCAGTAAAAATGATTGCATGTGTTATTTTAAATTATATTTAATACTACGCTTATTTGTTTTCTTTTCTTTCCAGATGAACAGTGTGCTTTCTTCCTATTTTTAAAGACAGCAAAGTGGAAAATTGGTGAATATTATAAGGACATCCTGAAAAGTGCATTGTTACTATGGCAATAAAAAGGAGAGAAAATGCCCAAAATCTTTTTGGTAAAATTCCATTTCTCTGTTTGAAATTTTTTAATTCACTGTATTAAATGTAAGCAAATAATCTTATGACATTTTCAATTGAATTAAATATTTTCATTTGACTTACATGTATTGAACAAACACCCTCTTAGTTCTTGGTAATTCAGGACGCACACGTCACTAAAATATCTTTTCTGACCTCCATACGTTGCAAACCTATTTGAGAAAATTGGTAAACTGATAAGCACAACACAAAGTAACAAGTGGTGTAATAGAGATTTACAGCAAAGCTTCCTGTTCCTTCTCCTCTGCATCCTCTTCCTTCTCTTATTTTTGAGGGATTGTAAAAGGGATACATCAGAGAAAGAGGCCAGGGAAGAAATCCAGGATTTAAGGCTCCGAGAAATACCAGTTAAAGACTGAGAGAAATGTAGGTGACTACAATCATATAAAATGAAGTAAATATGCCATGACTCCAAAGTTGCATAATTTTTCTTACAGATGTTAGAATAAAAAATGTTATTTTATTAGTTATTTCTTGCTGTTTCATAATATTATTACACACTTAGCAGCTTGAAACAACATATATTTATTTTCTCAGTTTCCGTGGGTCTGGAGTCTGGGCATGCTTTATTTATCTGTGTCCTCTGCTGTGCTGTTGCCAATTGTCAGCCAGAAACGGATCCTCATCTGCAGGCTCAACTGGGTAAAAATCTGCTTCTCCACTTGTGTGGCTGTTAATGGCGTTCACTTCCTTGTGGTTATAGGACTAAAAGGTTCCGTTTTTTGCTGGCTCTTGCCCGTGGCAGCCTTTGATTCCTGGAGGACACCAGCCATTTTTTATCACATGGGATTCCCCAACGTAGCCATTGGCTTCCTCACAGCCAGCAAAAGAGACAGAGTCCAGCAAACAGGCACTACAGTCTTCTGTGACATAATCACACACAAATAAACACTTACATCCTATCACTGTTCCTGCATTCAATTGGTAAGAAGTAAGTCATAAGCCCTAGCCATATTCAAGGGGAAGATATTGCACAAAAGCACAAGTACTATGTGTCTGGGATCATGGGTTTGCCTTTAAGAGTTGGTCTGGGCCAGGCGCGGTAGCTCACGCCTGTAATCCTAGCGCTCTGGGAGGCCGAGGCAGGAGGATCACTCAAGGTCAGGAGTTCGAAACCAGCCTGAGCAAAAGCGAGACCCTGTCTCTACTAAAAATAGAAAGAAATTAATTGGACAACTAAAAATATAGAAAAAATTAGCCAGGCATGGTGGCGCATGCCTGTAGTCCCAGCTACTCGGAGGCTGAGGCAGAAGGATTGCCTGAACCCAGGAGTTTGAGGTTGCTGTGAGCTAGGCTGACACCACGGCACTCTAGCCTGGACAACAGAGTGAGACCCTGTCCCAACAACAACAAAAAATAAATAAATAAAGATTTGGTATGACACAGTTATTATCAATACAGAAAATATGAGATAAACCCCACTCCAATAGCTTGGAGCTATAGTCCAATTTAATAAAAATTAAGATGCTGTACTATATTTCATAATGCTAAATCTCATATCATAAACTACATTATCTTTACTAGGAAAGAAATGAAAAAAAAAAAGTGTAGAAGTTTTAGTGTTTTCCAAAGACACAGAATTAATAGACTGATAGAATACACACGCACACAAACACACACAAGAGACAGATTGAGAGAGAGAGAGAGGGAGAGATCTGCTTTCACAAATTGGCTCACGTGATTGGGGAGGCTGGCAAGTTACAAGTCTAAAATCTGCAAGGTGGACCACCAGGCTAGACACCCAGGAAAGAACCCACATGTTGCAGTCACAGTCCAAATGAAGTCTGCAGGCATAATCCCCTCTTGCTCTTACTCAGGGGAGATCAATCTTTTGCTCTATTCAAACCTTCAACTGAGTGGATTAAATCCATCCACTTTATGGAGGGCAATCTGCTTTACCCAAAGTCCACTGATTTAAATGTAAATAATTTCACAGCAGAAACATCCAGAATAATTTTTGAACAAATATCTGAGCACCATGGCTCAGCCAAGTTGCTTACACAAAATTAGCCATCATGGCATCTTTAGGATTTGTAATTAATATTATCTTTAACACATTTTATATAATACTTCTATGTGCTAAACACTAAGTTCTTTATAAATATTAATTGATAATGCTCTGCAAAGGAGATATATTTATCACTTATTCTACTTTGTAGATAAGAACATTGAAGCACAACGAATTTAAGTGATTCGCCTAATTAGTAAAACATAGTAGGCCTTGTCATTAAATCACAAACTCTTCTATGATTATATCTCTCAGTTTTCATTCTTTACCCTGAAGTAGGCTGGCACACAGTTGATAATGCAGATATATTGGTTAGATTGAGGAACACTCACATGCATACACAGATATACATACACATAAGCCTCTTTAATCACTCAACAAAGCTTTGTGATTGCTAATAGAAAGATATGTATCAGTTATCCATGTAACAAAGACACTTGTAAGTCCTCAATATTTTGAAATTAAAAGAAAAAGAAAAAATAAAGATATGTATAGGGAAGGTAGACTCAATTTGAGTAATGGCAGATTAGGTAATGCATTTATTTATTTACTTATTTATTTATTTATTCATTTATTATTTTTATTTATTTTTTTATTTCAGCATATTATGGGGGTACACAGTAATGCATTCCCTAGTGGATCAACACAAGTAAAACTAGATTTCAAACACAGGTCTAAGCTTCTTAATGACAAAGTCAAAAGGAAATACAATCTGTAACAATATATACAATATTTGTGAGATAAAGACTAACTGGATATTAAGTAGAAGCAGGTATGACTATAACACAAATGTTTTTTTACATATTTTCAATATATAGGCAATGGATGGGGAAAAGTATTTAATAGTGAATTTAATATGACTATTTAACCTTAGTGTAGGCTGATAGCATAACTCCGTTGAAATCTCATGAACACATATATGGAGGCTTATGATATATTAGAAAAATGACAGTGCAGAGTTGTTAAGCAATAATAAAGAAAAGCCCACAGTGAAGTGTGAGGCTATAAAAGCAAGTGAAGAGCAGATAGGAGAGTATCAAATAAAATAGTCATGAGTTTAGACTTTATAGTGTAATCAGGTGATTCTCAATTGTGTGTGTGTGTGTGTATGAGAGACAGAGAGACAGAGAGATTGAGACATTGTATACACATGTGGAGAGTGGTGGGTGGGGAGCAACATGAATGAGAGATAACAGGCATATTCCTGACTTAGGAGCACACGTATATACAAAAGCATGTTTATTAAACATGAAAATACATGTTTATTAAAGCAATTAGGTGTCATTCATTGGCGAATGGATAAACTAGGGTACATGGAATATTAGTCTGTGACAAAATTAAATGAGCTATTAAGCCACAAAAGCATGGAGGAAACTTAAATGCATATTGCTTGTGAGAAAAACCAGTCTGAAAAGGCTACATACTATTTGATTCTAACAATATGACAAACATGTCTTTTTCAATAAGAAATGACAACATTGTAGATACAGAAGAAAGATCAGAAGTTTCCAAGGGTTGGGGAGGGAAGAAAGGTAGGGTTCAATAGGAGCACAGGACATTTTTAGGGCAGTGAAACTATTCTGTATTATACTTTACTGGTGGATGCATGATATTATGTATTTGTCAAAAGCTACTGAACAGTGAGACACAAAAGTCAGCCTTAATGTAAACTGTTTACTTTAGTTAATTATAATATCAAACATATCAATAGTGGTTCATCAATTGCAACAAATATATCTCATGAATGCAAGATGTTAACGACAGAGAAAATCGTTGAGGAGAGAGGGTGTGGGGCCTGGAAGAAAGTATATGGGAACTCTCTGGACTTGCTTTAATTTGTCTGTAAACCCAAAACTGCTGTAAGAAATAAACTTTACAAATTAAAAAAAAAAAGTTTGAATAAAAGTTGCTTAAATGAAACAAATTTTCTGCCTAATGTCCTATTGCCACTGAACAAAAAGTAGAAAAATAAAAAATGGCTAATATTCTTTTTGTTTTGTTTATATTTCTATTCTGGTCTTCTCCAATTCAAAAATGTTCCCTAAAAATAAGCATTTTGGAACAGTTGTCAACATATTAATAGAGGTAACACTTCTGACACCAAGTGAGAATCAGTTCTATATTTCAACAGTAGAATACAAAAAGGCTTGAATTCCTTAAGGATTTCACAAACTGCTTATTAAACTTTCACAGGCTACTTCATCAAAAAGCAGAAGTAGGAGTTGAGTTTAAAAAAACAAAAAGCCTTGAAGGAAAAAACCACATAGAAGGCCAATTCCTATCTTGTTCTACACACAAGCACAGATTCTACTGAAGATGATGACTGTTTATTTTATTCAATGGCAGATCTCAAACATCCTGTAAAGAAGCAAATTTTTCCCATAGCCTATATAACAAGTATTGTCAAAGAGAAGGTTACATCTAAAAGTGAAGTTTACCTCTTTATTGTGAGGAGAGCTGTGAAGAAATGAAAATTCTCACATCTGGACACTTACAGAACAACAGGGCAGAGTTTGGTGGGCTTATAAGTATAGATGATGCTATTATCAAAGCCTGAATTTAAACACAGCATCTGAGAGTATTACATTAGCTTGGCCCAAAAGGAAAATATTATTATTATTATTATCAGAGAGGATTGTCTATTAAGAGATCGAGAGTAATTTAAACTTGGAATCTCTCTATGTGATTATGAGAATATATAATCTATATTTTCCTTCAGAAGAAGGTGTTTTCAGTAATAAAATTTGCCTAAGGGCTCAATTTATTCTAAAAATTGTATTCCATATAATTATAATATAGTAAAAAAAAGTTGTATGAAGATTTATAGTACTGAATCAAAAACATAGAAAAGGGCACAATAAATAAATGGATTTAAATGTCAATGTATACTTTTTCATCTAAATGATATAGCACTGGTAATTTTAAACAGGTACCAAAATAGAAGTGATATTTTTCATCAT